TATATATATATATATATATATATATATATAACGAAATTAATCGAGAAGCTTTTGTTCTTCAATTTTCAAAACTTCATACGTATGAAAGAACCTACCCTTTTATGATAATCATAAGTGTTTATTAATTAAGTTGTTTCGTTCCTAATCAATATTATACTCTAATCAATTACATAATAAATTAAGAGTTATTTTTCCTTCATAGAAATACGATATTTTATGTCCCGTGTGATATTAAAAGATATTGTTCTGTTAAATAGGTAAATGCAAATACTAGAAATTGCTTAGAAATGCGTTTGCGTAAACTCAATCTTATGGAAGGGAATACCTTCACACAACTGTATGTAAAACTCAACTCCTTAAATATACAGCGACATAAAACAATTTCTCCATTTCCATTATGTTAAATTTATCAATTTAAATACGTAACGAAGAAAAATGAATACGAATCAAACAATAAATCAAATGGACAAGGAATTAAAACTTGTTCATCAGGTATATCCTTTGAATTTTACTATACCTTTAAATTTTACTACAGTATTGAAAATATTTGATTACGTACAGATTATTGTTGATGTTACTAAAATATTTATTATTTAATGAATTTTTAATGTGCAAATTTTACAGTTCCTTATAAACCATGATTTTGAAAATACTGCCGATGCATTGATGGTAGAAGCAACAATAAAAGGTTTTAAACATTGTAAGAAAGATTTACAAGTCGAGGGCGATATTTACGAAAATTGTTATGAACAATTGATGTTCAGTTATAAAACAGGAGATTGGAGAACATTCTTCAATGTATGATAAAAACTGAATATATTATATTAAATATAATGAAAAATATAATTTGTTGCTTTTCATTTTTAGCTATGGAATTTGATGATATCTGAAGATGTTAGACAAACAAAATCTTATAAAATTTTGATGTTACATATATATGTATATTTTGCAATGTTACCTAAACGCACATCAATGTTACATTGGTACAAAGAAAAAGGTACATATATAATATACATAAAATAAATATGGAGTACATATTCTCAAAAAATTTAAGATAGTTTTCTAACTTATTTATAGATAAAGTACAGGCTATAGGTGAATCTATGACATCACATAGTCAACAAGATTCTGAATGTGAAGAGGTAATTTCAATCAGTGCCAAATCACTAATTTCTTTTCTAAATTTATGTTATTTTTATTATGTTCTTATTTATTACATTTTTTTATAAGAATTTTAATTGTGAAATTGTTTTTTTTTAATTATAATATAGATTTTGCACAAAATTTTAAGAGTATAGTATAAATAGCTGAACAAAAAATAAAATATATTTGTAGTGACTGATTTAACATTAATAACATACAGAATTCTATGACTGAAACAGAGAAGAACATGAATGAATGTATGGAACAGTTACGTAACTTTCTAAACACAACAGGTAAAGAATTAGAAAAAGATAGTGAATTAAGACCTTATTTTGCATTACCTTTTATGGAGGATCCATATGCAGAACCGTTTCTTTCTAAAATATTTGAAAAAAGTTGGTCAGACAAACTAACAAATCATTTACAGCTATTTCTCAAAAACTATAAACAACAAGTAAGTATAGCAGACTACCACAAAGATGTGGCTTAGAAAAAATAATTGATAATGTAAAATATTTCATAAAGAGTTTCAGTGATACAAAGTATAATGATGAAAATTCAAACAAATTTTCTTCAAGTTATACATCTTTATCAGAAGATCCTAAGAAAGATGTAATGACAAAAAAGACAATTAAGAACACTAATGTACCAATCATACCAAATGATAGAAACATTCCAATGTTCCTAGAAAATGATGAACTCGAAGGACAATTTAATTTGTATGACAGTATGAAACATAGTCAAAAGTCAAAGTGAGAAACGTTTAATGTTTTTCTAGTGCAATACTTTTTAACAATTTGTTTTTTTTTTTGTAGAAGCATACAGACAATATCAATAAATTCTTCAAAAGAAGATATGTGTTCATCACATTTTACCAGAAAGAATAAAAAATTGATACAGTGTACTCAAGAATTGGCGGTAACAAAATCTCATTTATGCAGTGTCCATTCAAATTATGAAAAATTAAAAGTTAGATTTTATAAACTGCACGCTGATTATCATAAACTGATGAGCATTGCAAGAGTATTAACAACTGCTTTAGAAGATTCAGTAAAAGGACAAGCAATTGATTTCCAGGCTATGTTAGAGACTTGCATAAAAATCTTCCCAGATTTGTTTAATCAAAATATAAAAGACAGTTCACATGTAAGTAATGAGAATTTGATGTATATATTAATTTTTGTATGATATTGCATGATATTTTATCTGTTTATAGTGTTCATCAGAATTATTCTTAAATAAATCTCGTTCTAATATGAAAACTATTGAATATTCAAACTCGTACAATATATTCATTCCCCCAAAATTATTGGATTTCAAGAAAATCAAGTTACATCTGATTAACGGAAGTATTAAAACCAAACTATTCCTTTTGCAAGCGCTAAGAAGAGTAAGACAAATTTTTATTTCTATGATATCAAGTATTTTTACTTAAAACAAGTATTTCCTTTTTTTTCAGAAAATAACATTCAGTCAACCTGGAGAGAGAGATGAAACAGTGCATGAATATATAAGTAGAGACTTGTTAGGACTTCATAGTCAAATTGCCAGTTACAGAGGCAAATCTATACTGCCATATTTATTAACTCCACAAAATATTATCATACCACATCCTTTACAGCAATCAGTCGCAAGATTATTGAACGCATTGGCGTCGTTTAGATGTGGAAGAGACTATTTATCATTTGATTCTACTGTCGTTGATATGGTATTGGTATAGAAAAACAAATTTTATCATTATAGAATTAATGAAATAAATATTTTAGGTATTCAAGTGCCTGAATAGTATTTCTAATAATGATATAGACACATTGACTTGCAACATGATGATTGCAATGTTACAAAAGTTATCTTTACGTAAACAGCAAAGAATTTATATGATAGAAAATGGATTAGTGGAATGGTTGATCCATCATCTGTATGATCAGTGTCGTGTTATGGATTCTTATCGACTGGAATACGCTACAGCTCTTTTGATGAATTTATCGTTACATCAAGTAGCTCAAAAAAGAGCGTCAGCTCTAGCGCCTCTACTTATTTCAACATTAGTTGATTTGCTTTTAATGGATCATATATCGGTATAATGAATTATTTGTTTTTTACTTTCTAAAATTACAAACTATAGTATAGATATGTATGTGTATTTATAATGTATATTTATACTAGGCATTGCCATACATTAATGGGGCCTTAAACAACTTCTTAACCAATCCCGCGATCAACGAAGAAGCAAGACGAATAAAATTTTCGTCTATGATAGAACAGTACAGTAAATACAAAACTGGAGAAATAAGGTAAAACATTTCTTTACACGTTAAAGATCAAGTTATATCAGATAAAATATTTAAATAATATTCAAAAATATTTAATTGGAAACTAGGAAACACTTGGATCATATCCTAAAAATACATAGAGGTGAAATTACTATTAAAATGGAGGACGAAGATATGGCAGACAATGATAATGTGGGTAATAAATATGATAATATATTATGTTATTTTATATTACGCTAAAAAAAACTTTTTTCAGGAGGAATTTGATGTATTGGAAAGTCAACTGGAAGAGAATGATCCAGTAAAGAATAATTACGGAGAATTGTGTGGAGAATCATTATTAGAATCATGTTATACAATTTTACCAACGTCAATTAACGAAAACGAGATAATATCCGATGAACTATCATTCCGACAATTTAAAACAGAGGCAACAGACTCTGCCATGCATAATAATCAAATTAAGAGTTTATCTTCTGAACGCGAATCGATGCAACATGGAGAGACTTTACCAAGGTATTACTATAGCCCTTTTAATTTTATTAATTCGTAAAACCAATAAAATTCAATAAAAAATTTAATTTTATCAATTAAATAAAAATATGCTATCGAAATTATAAATTTCTTTCTAACATTTCAAGAAAATTGCCAAACAAAAAACTTAACGTGAAAACTAAAAATAATATTATAGTACTACAAAATTCTGGTAAAAAGACAATATCGTATCGAAAATCGCAGCCACGTGTAATCGAATTAAAGTATTTTTCGACAAAGGTATTTAACGAGTGAACAAAGATATTTAACCATCGAAACTTCAAATTTAAATCCATAATGTTTTTAAGGATCGACAAATTTCTAAACTGCAAATTGCAGAGAACAAAAGGTGGAACTCAAAGAATGATAAGAGTTTTGTAAAAGAAACTCATAACGAAAGTACCATGTATCTCTATGAAAATCATACTTCGAAGTTTGTTATATTTTTCTTGGAGTAAGAATAATACAAGGAGATGATTAAATGAATTTTTTACAGGGCAAGCAGCAAAACGACGATAGCATCCTCGATGCTTCTGGGAATCGGAGGCGAAGCTGAATCGACAGGTTGGTTAATTACGCGTTTATTTAATTTTATTAAAAAAAATAATCTTTTCACTTTATTGAAAAAAAAAAAACAAAAAGGGAACATTTAAATGCACAATGAATCAGTTATAAATTTCTAAATATCCAATTATAAATTTCTCACCACGTTTGACAAGCAAGATTTACTATAAGCATTTCACATATAGTGAAAGCTTTATAACTTTCTCTTAAACATGTACTTGATCAAGATCTGAGAAAAAATTGGAGCAAATATACGAAAGCGATACGACCATACTACGCCAGAGGATTTCTATAAAATAAATGTGAATTTAAAAATTATTCATATAATTTCATCGTTGCTTTTATATTTTTCAGTAATGGAGAAATTCAGCAGTATAGCGTCACTGTGAGTCAAGATTCTAATGTGATACAAACGCACTGTATGATTTTAAACTTAGTTACATATATGCACCGCATTGTATATTTTTATATTAAAGATTTAAATCGTTTATATGCCACAAATTTTTGAATAAATTTCATATTTTTGTTTGAGCATTATCAAGCTTGTCCTTTAGAATATCCAGTTATTCAGCAAAATTGAAACTTTCTTTGTAGGAACACCGAAGATAGCAATAAAATTGCAAACGACAAAACCTCATGGACGCAAGAGACAATATCGGATACGGAAGATGCATTTTTAGCCAAGCCAAAACTTGCACGAACTCCACCGTAATTAAAGTTAAATCTCAATGTAATAAAAAGAAAGGGATGTATTCGCATCATTTTTACAATAATTTTATTTTAAACGACAAATATTATAAACAATGTTTAGTATTAAAATTAAATATTTCATACAATAAATATATACAATACGTAACGTAGCATACTTTCATCACGCTTGCCCAGCTCATTGAGAGTATCAATAATAACCAGAATATGTACTGGCATGTCCTGGCACATAGCTGCTGCTGCTCCGGTATCTTCTCAACAATGGGCCATCCACGTAACTGTTACCGCTGAAGCTACTGTGTAATCCAGACATGGACGAATAACCAATTGGTGAGCTGCTGTGATACAGGTTCATAATGCTTGGCTTACTTTTGTAACCTCCAACAACCTTGCTAAGATAGGAAGAAGGTCCACCGGGATAAAGTTGACTGGCGATACTGCTTGGCCTGGCTTCTTTAATCGTAGCCAGTTTCCCACCGCTTTTACCGTAATTATTAAGCAAGTAATCAAGCTCTTGCTCCTTAGAGAGATAGTTCAAACCTGCAGTGGAGGTGTAATCACCCAGATACTTGTTATACTTGTATTTACCGGAACCATAAGCTGCAGCTGCAGCTCCCCGAACATTGCTGAAAGGGCTACTCCCAGAGTTGGACAAGAACATGGAAGAGGGGTAATCGCGGCCCATACTGCCGTGACTTCCTCGCACGTAGCGAGTATCAGGGTGCATCGAGTAGATCTCATTCACAAACTTGCTGCTTCCTCCGATACCGAAAGCATTCTCCTTCTGCTTTCCGTACGAATAGTCGCCGTTAGAGCTGCCGAAGAGGTTGGAGACCTCCCTGTTGAAAGTTGGATCCACACTGTCCATGAATCCTGCGCTTTGAGACGTGTGACCCCTGAAAGGATCTCCGGAATAGTCGCCTCTGAAGGTGGAAGCTTCTATGCCCAGTTCCGGATAGCTTCCTGTACTAGTAGCACCGGGCACGTTATCGGAGAATCTCATGTAAGAAAGATTCTTGTGCCTGTTGGTAGCGGACAGTTGATCGAAATCCGACGCGACTTGATCGCTGCCCTGCGTGTAAGCTTCGAAAGTCGAATCTCCGTTGTTGTTGTTGCCATTGTAGTTATCGAAACTGGACTGGGCAGCGTTGCTGGACATGTAAGGGACCGAGGCGAGATTCTCGCGAGTGGCAGTGGTGGTGTAACTACTAGGGAAACCAGCGTTGTGGGAACTGGGTGAAAATCCGGTGTAAGAGTTGCTTCTTAAACTTTCCTCGTGGCTCGTTTGGCTCCTGCTGTTGGTCAACGAGTGTCCACTATTTGCCCCGCCGTAAAAGTCCATGTTTTCTCGGTGGCCTTCTTTACTGGGTACGTAGGCACCGTTGATGATGTTGCTGTTGTATTCGAAGCCATTGCTCTCCCCGTTGATAGAATAGCCTTCACAAAGAAAGATTCTTTATTTGCAGACAGAAGGTTTTTTTAAACAGAACAATTTCTTTGTGATAGCGAGATTAAGAAGAAGAATTTTTAAGTTTAAGATATACGTACTGTTGACCGGTGTTGCTGGCTCTGCGCGGGTTAGCAGGACGCAACCAAAAATTACTATACTCTGAAAGTGGAACAGTTTCGCTATAAATTAATGCTCGTAATCCTCTATCAATCTTCGTAAACTGACAAAACCAATCAATCTCTCTGCCAACAATAATCGAAAGTACAATTTAAAAATCGATCCAGATTAAAAAAAAAAACTATGAACATTTAAATTCCAGTCGAAAGATCAGATTGTGACATAAAAAAGAAAAATCTAACGAAGCGAGATCACGATCGTCGAATTGAAAATTTCCATTGGATCAAGCTCGAGTGAAAATCGTTTTGCAACTCATTCGGTTACTCACGAGCGAAATGAAATCCGCCATGACAAAGAGAAGAAAAGAAGTCGAAGAGGGCTTTCGCGGCTACCTTGACAGACCGAGTCTCTTAGGGCAAATTGAAACTACACACATACTGACACGCGAATCGGCTCCTTACCGTTTTATACTCCTAGGAATCCCTCCTCGCTCACAAAAAGGTAAAAGCGATCTTGATGCGCACATACTGATAGGACATTGGCTGGTATCCGACCATACAGAGCAGGGAGAAAGAGTCAACCTGATTTAACTCTTCACTTTTACGGGGAAAGCATTGGGTCAGACTATTCAGTGAACTATGAGGAGCATGACCTACCTAGCGTAATTAGACTTTTTAATACATGTAGAAAAGACTTGAGAGCTTCGCTACTCGAAAACGGCTCTGCGTTTTTCTTTCTTTTCTTTTTTGACCAATCTTCGTAACTGAAAAAAAAAAAAAAAAATATAGCTAGTGAGTTCAGTGTTTTCTTTTTGATTAAAAAATTTATGATAGAACGATTGATATCAACCGTTATTAACCGTCTAATAAATAGATTTCACTGCGTAAAAACTATCTTGATCTCTAATGCCTCTTTCGCAGAATGTGAAAAAAAAAAAAAGTAGAAATTTGCCGAGAAACACGTACATACTTTCTACGTGTGTAAGTGATCGCGCGAAGAGTGTGGTTACGGGGTTAAATAGATTATTTAGTCCGAATGTAGTCATTATAGTCGTTATAGTCTCCGACTTCTCGATAGTAGTCAATCAACTGTCAATCGATAGCAGCGATAACTTTCGTAAAAATCTGCCCCCGATTTCTATGCATTATCATTGCCAAGGTTAACTGATATTTGTTACGGTGGGTGGATAACTTTCCTCCGGCGAGAAACGAGACGAGCGTTACGTCTTCCTTTGCATTGCAAATACCATAATTTCCAACAACGCTGCATACCGTTACATATTCAATAACATATGCTATTTATCCCTCAACTTTTTTTCCCCTCGCGAACAATCACCGACATTAGGCCAGTTGATCTATGTTAGAAATCTATGAAATTTCGTGACAGAGTTCGAAACAAGTCTTCACTGCGAAAATTATATGCAATTATTATGAATTTTCAAATTCAATGAATATTTTGTTTCACTACGTTTTCCAATGTCGAAGAGTTTCGCAACAAAGATAGAAGAACTTTTTTATCGATCACCGTGAGCTTGAATTCGACATTTCGGCAAGAATTAAGGAGATCTTCCGTCCACGTATAATAAATTTACTGGGCATAAATGAAGTTGGATAATAACAATCCAAGTTGCATAAGATTATTAGTGAACACAATGGTGCACCTGTTACTTTGTACTTCAATGGAGTCGTCGTAGAAAGAACGCTGGAGAACATCTTTCTGGCAAGCAACGAAATTCGTGAACGTCGGGAAGAACGCTTTAAAATGTCGCATAAAATGCACGAGTTTCTTGAATACCAATCGCTTTCCGCACGAAGAAGAAAGTTTCGCGAAGTTTTTTTTCCTCTGGTGAATGAAAGGTGAGTTCGACAATACGAATCGGGATTGAATTGCGACGTTCGATACGAGCGTCGATCGTATTCAATATCTCATGGCAGGGAATCAGGTCGGATATTTGAATGAATATACCGTGAGAAAATATTAACGAGACATGTAATCGTGCTTGATTAATTGCGAGCAAAGCGTTGAAATTGCAGATAAGTAGAAAACAATGTCGAGAAAAGGAGAGCAGATCTTTTTGATGATAAACGTGCTAAATTCTAATAGAAGATTGATCTCGGCTGCGAACATCAATTATTATGCAAAACGTGCTTCGACAAAACGGACTTTCTCCCGCGCGCGTTTAATTTAATTTACATTAATTAGTAAACATCGAGTGGTACGTATCGGCCTGATAGTTGAAGAACAATCGGCGTGTAACTTTTTAGACACTAATAATGATAAAGGCTATCGTTAAGTCCAAGTCACGCTCCTCGAGTTTTCATGGCCTAATTTCGCTCTCGTTTCAACGAACGCGACGCTCTCGTTCAACGTTCAAAATCAGAGCAACAAGCTTTTTGCATTTTCTTATGTAATTCATGCGCGGCGACTTTTTGCGACCACCCGTATAATATCCGTTTCCGGATGCTTTGGAGAAGTATTCCAAGGTTTCACCAGCATGATCGTACCGACGAAGTGCCTTTTCTTTTTTTTTTTTTTTTTTTAATAAACTGCACTTCACAGCATAGAGTTAATAATCGTCTGAGCAAGAGTTTTATATATATATATATATATAATATATAATATATATATATATAATTCTATATATATATATCCTTTCTTA